CGGTGTTCCCTTTCTCGCCCCCTCGGCCCCCCAAGCAGGATGCGACTGGACGTAGAGGCTTCAATCCCCCCCCCACCCCCGACACGCTTTCCGTGCAAATCACCCGCAGACGGGGACCCTGCAGGGGAAGCTCGGCCTCGGGCTGAGCTGAAAAGCCCTAAAAGGGGCAGGAAAGAGCCACAGGCAGGACACAGGTGCAGGGGAAAAAATGCGCTTAAGGAGCTCAGCCTACTTACTTCATCAAAAAGACAACAGAGGTGACTCGATTGCCATGTGTAAGTGCCTTCCTGGGAGAAAATACAAGATACTAAAGCACTCTTTAATCTAGTGAAGAAAGACATAACAAGAGCCAGGAGTTTGATCGTGTCTGGCTGCAGCTTCCCCCTGGAAAAATAAGGCACGTGTCTGAGCGGCGAGGCTGATCGAGCGGCGGCGGCGGCAGGGCAGGCCAGCAAAACCGATGGATTCGCAGCTTTTAATGGCTTCGAATCCAAGCCAGGTGCCTCTCCGGGGGTGCCCAGCACCCACCACTGCTTTCAATGCAAGGGTAACGGGGTGAAATAGGGATGTGCGTGATGTATAAAGGCAGTCAGAGCAGATTATTTCGTGGTCCCTTTTGGGGCTTGAACGCCAACACGTTGCACAAGACAAACTGCCCTTGCAACGCTGGCACGGGGAGCTAACGAGCAGCTTCGCTTTGCACCGCGGCCAGCACCGGCAAAGGGTTTGCCCCTTCGTCGTCCAGGCACTGGAGGTTTTCCTGTGTCCCACGGGCCCGGAGCATCCAACGGGGCCCTCAACCTGCTTATGACTAGTCTATATAATCTTCAGGACGGGACGCGACGGCTCCGACGCGCGATCCTTCTCGCGGTACCTGCTGGGCCGTTTCGGCTGCTGCGTTTTCCAGCGCTCCGGCTTCGTTTGAGGTGTCAACAGGCACTTTCTGGGAACAACGTGCAATGGGACCTCGGTGGCCGCCAAGAGCTGAAACTTAGAATTTCCTTCTTGCAGCGTTTCTTTCCCGTTCAGAATTGGAAGCAAGAAATGGAAAGAAGAAGAAGGAGAAAAAGTGCAAATCCATGCAAACAAAATGCTTTCCAGGAGCGCCAGAAAGCTAAAGCAAAAGCCATAAATTGCTCAGCTAAAGGAGGCGGAAGCGCCGTAGGAGCTATTACCTCCTTAGAAGCGGAGCAGCATAGATTGGGATGGAAATTATGTTTGGGAGCCTTCCCAGGGCTGGGCCGAGGCTGTTCAAGGCTCAGCAGTTCTCGCTGGGTCGCTGCTTTAGCTGCTGCTTTGCCGTTTGCAGGGCGCAAACGGGGCCTCCGGGCGCTCCCGGCCCCGGCCCGCGGGAAGTTCGGGGCGAGCAGGGCGCTGCCAGGCGGCAAAATCCCGCGGAGG